GGCCCCTTCCAACCCAAACCAATCTGTGATTTCATGATTTCCTTCCAGTGCCTCCGTGCAGCGGTGTGTTAAGAGGACAGGTACCCTGCAGTCTCGGGGCTGGGGCTGTGTGGCTGCCAGGAGGGCTCAGCAGAATTGTGTGTATGTAGGCACAGGCCTTTTGATTTCACCCAGGGTTAGCACTGGAGCTGTGTACAGGGCACGTCAGAGGTCAGCTAAGTTCTGGGCTGGGAAAGGTGAGTGTGGGATGCAAGGGATTTTAGACAGGCGCTTCAGAAAAGGCAAGTGAATGCATGGAACTCACTGGGGACATCTCAGGGTAAGGCCATGTGCTTGTCTTACGCCTTTTGTGTGTGTTGCTGAGTGAATCCGTTTTGAAGGCGTTGTTACATGCAGCCTGATAATTTTGTTTAACTTTTTCCTGATATTGCAATCAGAGCTTCATTCTTACCTCTGAAGTTACTGAGATCTTGGGCTCCCCATATCTAAAAGAACTGATTAAAATATTGGTTAAATGTCTGTCCGATAACTGTTTCTTGGTTAAAGCTCTTAGTTCAGGAAACAGAACTCTCTCAGGGCTGGTCCAAGTGTGAGCTAAAATCTTGCTGCCTTCTCTTCCAAGCTGGACAAGCTTACTGGTGTCAGAACACTCTTAGTGGGAAAGCACAGGGTCTGATGAATTTAATTCCTTGGCTGCAGAATAGAGGGACATAAGTGTAATGACTGATTAGAAAACAGGGTTTCCAGTGGAAAGTACAGGTGTAAATTTAGCAAAACAAAGCTGTGTTTACATATATGTAACTTTCTGGGTTTTTTAGGTGTAAACTTTGTTGGTACTATTTTCTTCCAGTTTTTGGTGGTTTTCCCCCACCTCCAGCATTTGTTAATTATTTTAATTGGGCACTGCACATATCAGTAATCACAGAATGGTTCGAATTGGAAGGGACCTTAAAGCTCACCCAGTTCCAACCCCCTGCCACGGGCAGGGACACCTTCCACTAGAGCAGGTTGTTCCAAGCCCTGTCCAACCTGGCCTTGAACACTGCCAGGGATGGGGCAGCCACAGCTTCTCTGGGCAACCTGTGCCAGTGTGTTAATTCAGCTTCTGTATGTAGTGAACTCTCAAATTACATGTCTTAAAAAAGAAGATTTATTTGCTGAGAGCCATCTTTGCAGAGTAGTCTGACTTTGTTCATCACCTTCAGCTGCAGTTATAGTTGTGAAGGCATGTTGCAGGTGTGCAGTTTTATTTGCAGTTCTGGATCAAGTTTTGATACTCTCATTTGTCCTAAAAAAAAGTTGGGGGTGAGGGATGTGGTTAATTGGTTTTACTACAGCTGTGAAAGCACATGCATTCCAGGGGCTTAAAGTTACCTTTCAGCAGTACCTGGGGACAGGACAAGAAGTAGTAAATGCAAATTGAAAGCACAAGAAATTCCTGGACAACCTACTTAAGCAGGGGGTTGAAGCAGGTGATCCTGAGAGCTCCTTCCAACTTCTGTGATTCTGTGACCTAAACCAAGAAAGGGCAAACTCAATCATTCGATGCTCATGTAGTCTGAATTTAAAAAACATATCAATTGCAGAAATGGCCAAAGAGGTAGCTTTTATTTTGCACTTCTAATTCTTTTTAACTTTTAACAAATTTTTATTAGCTATCTTATTGGTGCTTCTTAGGGGAAAAAACAGAGCATACGTTAATGATGGGCTTCATATCTTTGATTAGAAAGAAAATCCCTTCTGTGGGCAGGATATTTTGTTTTCCTAGTCATTATTGAAATTTAACTTGTTTACTATGACTACCACCAAGTGTGGGCACACAGCCAGGGTTTGGATGGAACTTTCAGAAATGCTTAACACATGCCCCAGACAGAATTAGTCTTGGTAAAAGGGGTTAGCAATTGATCTTTTTTGAATCATAGGGTATCTAAGTGAAGTATCTAAAGAAATTACGCTTTTCTCCACTGGATGGTGCTGCTTGCCCAGAGTTGCGTTACTGTATTTAGAATCATTCTGTGAGCGGCCCTGATGATTGGTGCTACTTTCTGAGCTCAATATTTTAGCTGGAAGACAGTGTGTTTCCTTTCTCACTCTTAAGACATCAATGGACAACCATTTCTGACAAACTGTTGACTAAACAGTCTTTTTTGTTGGTTTGTTTAGAGAGGGGAGATGATTCTATGGTTGTTGTATGTGGCATAAAGTTGTTCCTGGCTTTCTGAAATACTTCTCTAAAGATGTAAGCAACTTCCTTTGTTTTCCTGCCTCTAGCTTGCCATATTTGAAAATAAGAGTGTGTTAACCTGGCAAAAATGTGAGGATTAATCCCATAGCAATAGTGGTTTAAAGTACTTGGGTTGCAAGTACTGGGAAAGGGAAGGTCTCTTAAAATTCCAAGCTTAAGACATCTCTAGTAGATGCCCTTATGTTTTTGTTACCATCGCCCTCCTGGGAGTAAAACATCTTCATCAGAGAAATATTCAGAAAAAAGATTAGAAATTAACTTTTAAATTGGATTAGTTGAACTACATCAAACAACTCAGTTTGGAAGTTAATTTAAATTCACATTCAGTTGATGTGGATTACCTCTGCTGCACACGCAAATCCTGAGATAGCATGCAGTGGCTTTACAGCTGCAAGAACTGTGTTGAGTTGAATTCCTTGGTATTTGCAAAGTCACCACCTGGGGAACTAGTTGCAGAGAGCATGACAGAATATGGGCATACTTAAAATATTATAGTTAGATTTAAAAAGAGGCATTGAATAGTTTTTGGTGACTGAGGGAAAGTTGATGTTAATCGAGGGATTTTAAAGAGACAGATTAAGACATAGGATTCAAAAGGAGGGGCTGCTGCTCAGCTGGGCAGCATAATCTCTATTAAGTTGCTTATTTTTGTTGTCTTTTTATGCTGTTTATTTCACTGTCAGCTAAAGACAAAAGCAACAGCCAAGGTGTTCCCTGTCTTTTCAGTACTCAGCTTTTGCTTCCAGCTTGATAACATTTTTAATTCACCCCCCCAGTAAACCACTGGAAACCTGGGTTCTTAGAGATTGTTTGCATCTTGTGTCAGGGAAGATGACAAAGCATGTTAATTGTCCCAGATTCCTAGCTCGATGTTTCCAACACCAGAGTAAATCAGTGAAGTGAGCTACCTCGCTGAGGGAGTGAGTTTCACAGTTTCTGTTCTCAGTGGTGCAGCAGGGAACCGTAATTTGCTTGGGCATTGAAAGTGCCACAGTGGCACTTTACCAGCTGTTGTTAGCAGTACAGGTAGGGCTTGTAGTAGATGTTTCTCTGAAGGCTACCAGTTGGAAGCAAATTGTTGTTTTCCTGCAGAGAAGTGAACCAAGTGAAGGCTATGCCAATTCCTTTCACAGCACTCAGTCATTTAACCTACTGTAAAATCTTTTTTTATGGACTGTTGGGGTTTTATGAAATGCTTATCAGACTATTACTTTTTATGGGGCTACCATACAACACTTATTTTGAGCTTCAAAGCTTTGGAAGTATGTTAAAAAAAGCCACCATCAAGTATTCTAGCAGTATTAGTTCTTCTTTAAGAACGAAACAAAACTGGGCAAAAAGTGAATCAGATATCCCTGTAATAACATCCCTGTAATATTCTGTTCCTCTGGCCCAAATCCTAACTGTTGCATTTTAGGGTTTTTATTAAGCTGAAATCACCGCGGTGGACTTGGCTTCTCACTGACTTTGTATGGCCTTGGGTTAATCGGTCATTTTTGATCCATCATTTCCCATCGTGTGTAATGAAGTTTGTAATCTTCCTGTCTCCCATTCTTTGTTTGTCTTGTTTATTTAGGTTGTCTTCCTGCTTGTGTTTAGGTGCACAGTTAAAGTGGCTGGTTAACTGGGCTAGCTTTTCTTCCTTGCTTTCATTGGAGCTATTCCTGATGATAGAGGCAAGCGCACACATGTGGGCCTGGGGGATGGTAGTTTCTTTAGTAGTCCGCATAGGACAAAGAGCCATGGTTCTCGTTTGCATCTCTTAACACCTGCAATGATTTCTGGTGACTTTTCAGTTTCTGAATCAACCATTTTGTAGCAAATCCAAAAGCTGAAATCCCGCTGGTTTCTGGTCTGCAATTTAGTTTCTCTGGTCACTTAGTTTTGATTTTTGATTTGGCTTTTATTATGAAGGCAAATACTAAAACTTCTGTGTTCTGGTTAAAAGGAAGACTGGCTAGTGGGTATTGTCCAGAACTGGGAAAGCCAGCATCCGTAGTCTCATCCCTTGCAGATTGCATGTTACAGCCAGATGTAGAACAAAGTTGGAATAAATATGGAGTTTAGGCCTGTACACCTAAATGGTAGGCCTTAAAGCCTTCCCTGAATTGCATCTCATCCTTAGGGATGACAACTTCCATAACTATTTCACTTTGGCATTCTTCACATGAATAATTAACATTTTCACTGTTTGGGGTTTTTTTTGTTTGTTTGTTTGTTTGTTTGCTGTTTCCAATATAAGGTTTGGTAAAACCCCCGGAAATTCTTTAGCCTGGCGTAAGTTCTGGGTTATTTTTTTTTTTTTTTGCAATGAAGAGCTTTTCTGGGATTGATTGAATACGGAGAACACTGTGGGAATGTCAGTAGAGCCTGTTTGCATTTTTCCTTCCTGCTCTAGCCCGTAGAAGGCAGAAGTGGTCTGTGGATCCACAAAATAGCGCTTGGAGTAAAGATGAATCTAAATTTGGACAGAAGATGCTGGAAAAGATGGGCTGGTCCAAAGGAAAGGTATGATTTAGAGGAGAATTGTCTGGCTGAAGAGTGGAAGACTGCCAGGGGATTCTTGATCTCAGTGTTTAAAGCAGCCATATTCTTTCTATTTGATTTATTCTCTGAAGTGCACAAAGAATTTGAGCAATGTTAGATTTCTACAGTTTGTTACAAAGGTACTTTCTTGCTTGTTCCTGTCTTGCTTTCTGGTTTTTCTCCTCTCTCTTTGACTTTGCTCCTAAGTGAGAGCAGGAGTTGACCCATTAAATTAGGTGATGGTTAAAGACTTTTAAGTTGCCTTTACACCGTCGGTTCTCTCCCTGGCTTTCGGTACTGTTCAAAGAAACTCCAGGACCTGCTCTAATCTTTCACCTGTTTTTAAAGATTGCTTCTGATCTGTTCCTTGAATGACCAAAATGCAGTGCTGTGAGGTGTATTCCTTCCCACCTCGAGCCTGTACCTGTGGGATTTCTGATGGGTTTCTGGGGCTAAGAATAATCTCTAGGTCAGTGCAGACTTCTCAGTTGCCCCTTAAAAGCAGTTTAACTTCCACATAGGTGCCTCAGCAAAGCTGAGATTTGGGCCTGCACGTCAGTGTGTTTAATGCACACAAAACCCACACGATATTAATTCTTCTCCTAGATTTGCTCTCCCAGCCTTTTTAAAAAGGAATAAAATTAGGATCATTCTTAATTCCATGAATGCATTAAACCAGCAAAAAAATAAGCCTACTCGTGGATTTCTCAGTGTATCCTGCTATTGCCTCAGTTGTCTTACATTTAGCACATATAAATCTGGCTTCTGACTACCTCATTTCATGAACAGGCAGTGGTATCTAATTTAAAGGCTGCTGAAGTCAAGGAACTGACATCAGTTTCACTAGGCTTTAGACCAGCCTGTTAAGAGTACAGAGCTTGAGTACTCTTTTAATGTAAATTGCATGCATATGTGTTTCATGTGTGTAAGATTAAAATAGGTATGTAAACCAGAGCAGGAAAAAATGCCGTTAAATGTCCTCTTTGTATTTTGGGCTGTGGGCTTCTCTGACCACAGATAACACCTTTACTGTTATGAACACTATCTCAGGGTGTGAGAGGAAGGCTTCGCATTTTCTTTTCTGTCTGTCCCCTCCCCATTTTCTTCACAACAATATGTTTCCTACTTGAGCTACTGGATCTTCCTTTACAAGTTATAGCTGTACAGGAAGGATTTATGCCTCCATTCCAGTACAAACTCAGGCAAATGGAACTTAAGCTTGATCAAATTAATGGGCAAATGCCCATCTGTGCAGTGAAATAAAGCTGCTTACACTAGTCCTGTTATTGTATTGGAATTGGGTCACAGTGGGATGTGCAACCAAGTATCCTGCTTGTTTCCATACTTTTTCATTAGCTGAAGTTTCAAGGTAAATTTTCCTCCCCACTGACCAGCTCCCACCAAATCCAGCTCTGCTGGATTTGTAACAGCAACAGCTGCCTTCGAATAGCCCTTATGCCACCAAGTATTAGATATGCACAGGATCGATCCACAGGGCTTCTCTCCACTGCTCTACCACGTACATGTTTATTATAGCCAGATATGTAGCTGATGATTTCTTACTGGTGACAGATTAGGGAAAAAGTGGGTAGTAGATACCAGGAGTAAAGTTTTAAACCAAATGCTTTGTCTTTTTTTCTTTTCTTTGGTTTGCACAGTTAAGAATGATAATACTGGGCCTGAAGATTGCTTCCCAGATTTGAGTGATGATGGATTTTAGGATAGACAAACCCAACATTTGTTTGCTCTGGTATCTTCATCAAATTATGAGTGTGAATGAGATGGAAGAAGTTTTTAATGTTCTGCTAGCTCCAGTCTGATCCTCTCCCCCATTTCAGTCCTATATAGCTTCATTCTGTATTGCACGTTATGTGGCCTCTGTCTTACAGCCATATATCACAGCTGCCTTCCCAGTGACGGAGGTATTTTTCGTGAGAGGCAAGTTCTTTTTATGTAGTGTCTTGTTTTAAAATTGTAAACACTTTGGACTTGCCTAGGAATGTCAGGTGGCTTCCTGATTAATCACCCAGCTACTTAATGTTGTTGCTATTTTAGTGTTTGTAATACTTTGCTGGAGGCTTAAGTAGTAAATTAAAAAAACTTAATATCTCATGTGTGCTAATGCCTCTGAATGAATTCAGTTACAGGCAAGCAAATAAATAGTATGTTGAGATTTCTTGCTGTATTTCATTGCAAACTGCCTTACAGATCAAAACCTTTACTTGCTGCTGTAAAATCCTAACATTTTTACCCTTAAATCCTCCTTAGGGTCTTGGGGCTCAAGAACAAGGAAATACAGAACATATCAAGGTTCAAGTGAAAAACAACACTTTGGGGTTAGGAGCAACTGTCAATTACGAGGTGAGCACTAGACCCAGGTAAGGAAATAGCTCCCATTTCAGCTAAAGCACAATCTTTGTAAAGGGATGTTTGTGAAATCTGTTGTCACATCTGGTGGCAGCATGTACCTATGCCAATGCCTTTGCAGAAACTCTTTACCTGGAGTTTAGTTCTGCTTTGTTGGGTGTTTGAGGAGCAAGTACCTGCTTGGAAAGGTTACAGTGAATTCTGCAGTCCAGCTGTTCTGAGATATTTTTTTTTGTTTCCTAGCAAATCACTGAAATACTTGCTTTTTCCTTATGTCTTCTGCCCTGCTTCATGCCTTCTGTCCCTCTTCTTGGTATAGTTACCTTCTGACTGGAGTTCAGGTACATAGGTAGAGCAGAACATGGTCCTAAAAGTGCTTGTTTCATAATCAACATCTTAAGTAACTGTAACTTTCCTGGAAAAAAATCACAGTGCTATTTCCTGCCTACTTTTGAAAACATCTTGTGCCAATGTGGGACACACAGAGCCAACAGCAGCTCAGTATTAAGAACTTACAAACACAACTCTTATAATTTCTGCTCTTTGGAGTGACTGTAGCAATCACCTGTGTTGCTTCCGAGGGTCCCTTCCACTGACCAGTGTTGAGTATCTACAATTAAGTTACTTCTTAGAGTGCAGAGTCTTAATAGCTGGTTTAGCAAAACTTTCATTAGTTCTGAAGACTTTCACCTTGTATTCATGTGGGTGATATTTACAGGACAACTGGATTGCTCATCAGGATGACTTCAACCAGCTTCTGGCTGAACTGAATGATTGCCATGGACAGGGTGAAACAGGTAGGTTCATGCTTTGCTCAATCAGATGCTGGAAGCTTAGCAGAGTTTCCATTCTGTGTCTTAAAGGCTAGCAGAGGCCCAATCCTTTGGGCTGCTGGTAGTCTTGCTGAGGTTGGCAACTCCCCCTTCTCCCCTGAAATCAGTGGGAGTGGAATGACATGTTGTCATCCATTACCATGCTCAAGTTTGCCTGCATATGTAGATCTCAGTGGATCAGTTTTGCTCTCAGTCAGGCCTCTGGTAAAGACTTTTTGTTGGGAAAGGCAAACATTAAGATTTTGAAGTTGTTTATTTTATCCCGGCCCACAATGTGGACCTTTTGCTGTGATGTTCTACAGCAGCATTTGCTTCTTTATACAGCAACCAGAGCCAGTGAGAAGGCTCACAATGCAATGTGTTTGCCTTCCTTTTACTAATGAACTGTCATACCTGGCTTCCATGCTCTGGTGGTTTCTTAAATGCCTACTTTTCCTGTCCTCAGAGAAATGCTACTCAGCTTTTGCCTCAGAGTTATGCATCTGCTTTGAGTGTGGTATAATGTGATTTTTGTAGCCCTGATGTAGAGCACACAAGTGGGGGAAACTACACAGATTTCCCAAAAGGGCTGTTTGTAAGTCTTTTCATTTTGAAAAGCTTTGTTCAGTTAGACTTTGGTTTGTAATAATTAAGCTGTGTGAAACTGGTGGGTGCGAGCTTACAGGAAGAATTGTGCACATCAAACGGTTTATTATCTCTCCTTTAGTTAGACTCAAGTTTATACTCTGATCTTGTATGTAAACAACTGAGTGTGGAGAGCTGTTAAATGAAGGGCTTTGGTTTGGACAGAGCAGTCCATCCACGTGCTACTAGTGACGGTATTGCCAGCCTAGGGAATCTAGCAACTGTTGATTCATTCGCTCTTAACGCTTGAGCACAGAAGGTTTCCTGGGAGAGGGGAGGTAGAAAAAAGAGGAGGAAAATCAGTTAGCAAGAAGGATCAAACTTGGTTTCTAATCCTAGAGAACTAGGATTAAAATTCTGAACCTGATGCTTTTAAACCACTTTTTCAAATTGCTGTGTAAATTATCCTTGTGCATTGGAGCCCTGATCACAGTCTTGAGGTCCACACAGTGCTAGGTCCTGTAGCTGAAGTCCTGAAGAGGTAGAATAGCATATCATAGGGAAATTCCAAAAGTTCCTTTCTACATTTATAGCTAAATCCTACCCAAGTTCCAGCTTGAGCCATGGGAAGATCAGTTAGGTGTAACTGGTGGGAAACCTGTAAACTGATGAGTGGAGAGCTGAAATGACTTGCCCAAGGGCACAGTGAATCAGCACAGAGGCAGGTTCATTGAGCAAGGCTGTCTTGTTCCTAAATCTGTACAGTATTCCCTTGGTCATCCCTACAGATGGAGAATGGGCCCTGACAACTGTATTTCTCCCTGGTTTACTCAGTTATTTTTTCTTCATCATTTTAGGAGCTGGGACAAGAGTTTTCAATCACTGAGGACAAATTTGGGTGCACGTTGAAAATCCCCGGTCAGAGTCAACATTTAGTGATTTGCAGGCTACAGGCATTGCTCTGAAACTTGGTTTTTTGGCAAGTGTTTAAGCTGGCAAAACTCATTCAGATAGCTCTGCCCGCAGCTGTGCTACAGGATCAAATGTTACATTATTGGCCATCATCCAGTTTCAAATTGCATTAAAAGTCAGCTGAAAAACTTCATTGTTCTTAAATAACTGGTGTAGCTGCCAGAGTTGGATTGCAATTAGAGATCGGGAAGGAAGGGCCCCATGGTGGTTAGTATGCCAACATTCAAATACCCTTGGTGCATAGTTTTAGCTTCCTTTTCTTTCTTCTTTTTTTCCTTGCTGATCACCTAGTGAGGAGTTTTGATTCCTGACTCTTTTGCTGGAATACTAAGTGGTGATAACTGTTGTCCCTTTCCCGTTCATAAAATGAGGCAATGTGCCTTTCGTGTCTGTAATGTGGTTTGGAATATTCATCTCTATCATATTTGCTACAGAAATGACACATGGCTTTATTACTATGACTAAATTGCTTTAAAAAGCACAATAATATTCCTGCAGTGCTAGCTCAGGATTTACCAGTCACTAGAAGACACAGGGATGTACCTACCTGTCCATTGCAAGTGCCAGCATGTTTCAGGAGTGAAATTCCTCCTTGAAGGCACAAGGCGGTGCTGCTGTCCCTTTCGCGGCAAGAATAAAGAGGAGGAGGAAGCCCTGTGGAAATCCTTTGCTGTGTAATGTTCCCTTCTGTGCAAGTGAATCAGAGAGCAGTCTTAAAGTGCCTCATCTCTGGTCAGGGTATTTTAGTTGTGATGCTTACTTTCCCCATAGACCCCATTTATTGAGGATTTTCAAGTTGACTGCAAACTCCTGTCTAAAACTGGGTTTTGGTAGTCCTCTGTCTTCTTAGGGTTGGAAGAGTAGATCGCAAAGTGCTTTCTGGTAATCTGCTCTCTAACTGCAGGCTGTGGATTTCATTTCCCTTGTCACTACCTACCAAACAGTGAAGTGCTGTAATTCCAATGTCAGAAATGCTTGGTCTGCAGAACTTGCAAGGGTGGGATCATATGAAAAAGGTGACTCACCTTGGCCTTCAAGGTATGGGTTGATTTCCCTACCCATCCCAGTTGTCACTGGTAGGGAAAAAAACATCTCACCAGAGTAGACTTTTTTTAGAGTTACAGAACAGAGAATCCTGTGGTGCCTGTTTCTTTTCAGGACAGGACTAATAAAGTAGTTATTAATCAGAGAGCAGGTTACCTGCCTCTAAGAACTTCTTGTAAATTAACAGGCTCTGTGGATTCAAAGAATACGTCTGTACCAGTAAAATAACCTGCCACAGCACAGGAACTTGATCTCTCTACTGTTACATAGTCAGATTAATCCTTTACATGGTTTTGACCTGTACAAGCTAACATTCTCCCAAACAACTGCTGAGCGAATTTGGGACTTAGCCAACCCAGAGACTGTCCCAGTGGACAGTTTAGATGCAGCCCCTCTTCTGCAAGCTAGGAAAATTAAATAATATGGATGTGGCAATTTGTTCTAGCTGGCCTCAGGAACAGAAAAGCTCTGCCACACTTTAATTTCCTTACACAGATGTATCAGACTGTGTCCAGATAGAGACACTTTGTATAGTGTTAGAAGTGAAAAGCCTGTGTTGTTGGTGTTGTGGGTTTTTTTCCCCTTTTCCTTTCTATCCAGTCAGGTGCAGTCTCTTTTTTTTGTACAGTTTCTTACATCTTTGTCAGATTATGGCACTGGAGGTATTTTGTAAACAAACAGCACAATAAACCCTGACTTACTATTCTTTTCTTGCTTTAGAAATGATTTGCCTTTGACTTGGAGTACCTGTATCTGCCTTTTCAAATTACATTAGATTGGAAATGGGAAGGGAAGGGGATGTGGCAAAAAGAAAAAGTCAAGCAGTAACAGGTCTTGGACAAAACTTACCATACTTCCTTCAGTAATACATTGTGATACGTTGAGACTTGGGTTTGAGAGAGAAAGTTGATGTTTGGTGGTTAGAATGTCTCTGTTAGGTTTGTAACCTGTTTGGTTTTGGCTTTTTTAGAGTCCTCAGTGAATAATCAGAAGAAGACATTCAGTCTGGAAGAAAAATCCAAATCTTCCAAGAAACGTGTCCATTATATGAAGTTTGCAAAAGGTAAGGGGAGTTCCATTGTTTCATAAGCTCTAGCCAAGATTAGTTAAAAAAAGTGTCAAGGTGATCTGTTGCCTTCTGGGATCTAAATTTGGCAAGTAAAATCTTGGTTTAGTAATGCTGCCTGCAGCAACTTACTTAAAGCTATAATATGCTGTTCCTCTATTTTGGACAATTTTGAGTGACTTTAAGCTGATATTGTTGAATAAACCAGTTTCTGTCTGAAGGAATCATCAGCTGAATAAAAAAATGGTAAATATTCTGAGTGATCTGTGTGTGGGCAGAGGATGGGGAGGGGAGGCAAAGGTGATAAGAGTTACTTGAGCATCTGCACAGCACTATCCTCTGCAATCTCCGGTAACCCCTGCTGAGAGATCACATGGATAAGATCAGTGGTCAGATTAAAGCTGAATGCAGGAGGAGGGAAAACCCTCTTACATCTACCAGTTACTTTATTGGCTAAATTAGGACAGTAGTTGGTGGCCACAAAAACTATATCAAGAACTCGGGGACTTTCACAGTTTCTTTGTTAGAGTGATGGCGTTATTTCAGCTATCCCTGGTTTTGCCTCTTTGACAGTTGTTCAGTCCCTTGCTTTATTTCTTTAGTGATTGCCTTCCCCTTTCACATACCTTTGTGCACATAGCGTGTGTATACCTGTTTCGTGTGTATACCTGTTTCATGTGTATGGGATAGGATCATTTTCCACTAATGGCTAATTTTTAAACTTAAAGCTCTGTGTAATGGTTTTAGATAGCAAATGCCTCTGCTAAAACAGAAGTGATTAATGTCTGAGTGGAGGCAGAATTCTGATTATTGGGGTTTGGGATTTTGGAATAAGTAATTCGGCCTTGAAGTCAGCATGCTAACATAGAATCATGACCCGTTCACTTTACGACATTTAACAATTGAGTTGGTTCAGGGCTTCCAAGTAGAGAGGCCATGGCCTGTTTGAGGTCGTAGCAAAGAGGATTTGTTTTGATTTGGATTTAACCCTTTACTAAATATAGAGAAAAAAGTGTCTTTTGAGCCAGTAAAATACAGAGGAGGCTTTCATATTAACAGTATTGCTCATTTGTTTGGCTGCAGTGTTTCTATAAGGTAGGCCCCTGTTTGATTGTATCCTCTGCAGTCTAAAACA